CATCATGATTTCTTTCAGGTTTATTATCTTGCTACATTGTTCTTCCTGCTCCTGGAATAGTGTATACTGAAGAAATGGAGAGTCCTGTTGACTGTTATGTAAAAATCCTCCTGGTGTACCTGAACTCCAAATCAGCCCTTCAGCGAATGGTGACTGGTCTTGTTGTTGCTGAATGGGCAAAGTTGGAGGGATCCAATCATACTAGTTCTGAAACGCTTAAAAGACGACTTCACCAATGTCTGACTGAGTGTGTGTATTTTGATGAAATAGCCTTATCTTTTACACGTCTACTGCAAGAAACAAGAGATTTTATTGCAATGATGAAGCATTATAAACTTCCTATTGATTCTGAGAAATATGGATCGGTATGTGTAATATTTGTTATTTTCTGATTCAAATAATTCCCTGTTAAAGTGTTACAATTACCCCACTTAAAATTCTTATAATGGTAAAAGATCTTGAATAAGAATTTTTGGTAAAAGAATTAAAAAATAATATTAAAACTAAGAAATCTTTCAGTGTAGTAAAATAATAGTGTAAAAATTTGAAGTCTTATTATGTTGTTCAATATTATTATTTAATTTAATTATTATATTATATTTAAGGAATATGGAGATGTGAGATGTGAAATTTTAAAATTTCGGATGATCTCTCACCGCCCTATTTCTTGACCTTGCTACACATTTCCTCATATTCTTAGTACAGTAAACCCGTCTTTTACACTTTTCAGGGGACCGATGAAAAACAAAAGTGTAAATTGCAGGAAAGTGTAAAATAGAGGAAAGTTGAAAAACAATAGGCTAGGCGAGTAATTTCATTATTCACTGCAATGGTTATTCCGTTTTCGCTTTCTCGCCCTTTGTAAGAAGAGACAGTAAAAGCATGCTCAGGAATCGGCAATTTTCATGAGAAAATCTTCTATTGACGTGCCCTGGTAATGAAAAAGTGGATAAATCATATTCCTACGTATAGTAAATTAAATTCTCTAACACGCGGTGTAGCCTGAATCACTGTTTTCTGGGTTCTTGCATCCGCAAAATCGATTGACGGCTGTTTTTCCAGCTGAAAACGTGTTTGCCCGTCTGTGGTCAAAGGAAGTGCCTAAACTGCCTGCCGATTTTCTCCAAAATTAATATTCCTCAATTGATCTGCATGAAAGCAAGGCTTTTGTGTAGTAATCTGCTACATATTGGAACAGAATTTATCCCCTTTTTCTCTCTCATTACTAGTTTTTATTGCGAGTAATCACTGTTTTCTGCCGGTGTAATGTATGTATGTATGTATACGAGAAAGTAAAAAAATGAAATAAAATAAATTTTAAAAAAGGAAGCACTCTTCATATCCAGTTGTAAATTGCAGGAAGAGAATGCATTGTAAATACATGCTTTCCAAAGGGACCAATGGAAAGTTACATAAACTGCTGGAAAATGTAAAATGCACGAATGTTAAAACAGGGTTTTACTGTATCTGTTTTCAATTGGTATTTTAGCATCAGTCTTCCCCTTACATTAATGACATGAGAACCAACTATGTTTTAAGAAATAACTGTTTCACTTGCTTTTTGTTGCAGGTATTAACATTGGATCAAATCCAACAGTTGAGTGGTCCTGTTACTCAGCAACTTTTATCTTCCCACAAATTAAAACCAAAAATTGCAGAAACTTTAGAAGAGAGGCGGAAAGCTATTCAAGGATCTGTATCTCAAACAAGTTCAGATCAGATGTTGCTCAATATTTCGTATGTATTTCTGATTATCTGAGTTTCATTACAATGGTAACACAATATTCTCTTTTATTTACAAAACAGTATCAAGTAAACTCTTTTATTCACAAAACATTCTAAATCAAGGGTTAGACTTCAGTTTGTTCTGCCTCCTAGAATTGCTCACTCCTAAGTGGTTTTTCCACATTTCTTCTCCCTCTTGTCTTATATTTCAGAGCCATTCAAGTTATTCTCTCTCAGTCCTTCTTGGTACATGGTTTTTCCATTTTACTCTAAACTGTTTAATAATTTCATTTACACTTACAATGTTTAATTCTTTTCTAATTTCTTCATTTTTATGTAGCCACAAAATGTGCATCCAGCTACATTTCTGAGAAATCTGATTTCTGTTGATTCAATTCTCCCTATTTGAACTTTAGTTAGTGTCCAGCATTCACTTCTATTTAGCGAGATGGGCATGACCATCGCTTTATAGTTTAATTATTGTGTCTTTTCTAACTTTATTTTTCAATGTATTGCAAAAGGTCTATATTTAATTTTACTTCTAGGTCACATCTTTTGATTTATTTTATTGTGTCTCTCAGGTAATTGAATGTGTTAGTCTATTCTATTATATTATTGTCACAGACTATTTTCATTCTTAATGGTTCATTTCCTTTAAATACCATGGTTTTTGTTTTCTCTATAAATTTTGTCAATTATATTGTGTAGCTAAATCATTGATCTGATATATTGCTGCTTGGATACTATCTCTTAATAATTCATCATAAATCTTTATCACTTCTCCTCTTAATAAGTGAATATTTGTTCCACAGTTCACTCCTAGTAGCAAACATTCATCTCTGAGATTAGTAATGGATTTCTGCCTGACTCCAATGTAGTCTTTTTTAGAATGTAGAGAAATTTCTTCAGAAAAAACTTCAAATATCCATATTCTGGAAAAAAACATTTATAATGCATCAAGATGTTCAAAGTGATTTTTTGTCTTCATTATCATTAATTACCCTTTCTGCAAGACTTTTTTGCAATTTATCATTTTCTTTTGATTTGACAGTGAAAAATTACTTCAGACAAAAAAAATATATTATATTTATTTTCTAGTACTCAAGCTGCATTGGCTGGTGCAGTAACTATGCAAAAGAGCCTCCCAGAAAAACTTAACCCTGTAGTGAAGCCTTTGATGGAATCTGTTAAGAAAGAAGATACTGAGCCTTTGCAGGTAATTTCCAACCAAAATGTTTCCAAAAATTCATTGTTGTTATTAGAAATGTGTCTTGGTTACAATTTTTGTGTTACTATTTATACTTGATGTTTCTGTTGTCTTTTATTGTAGGCACTAGCAGCTAGTCATTTGGCATTTCTGGTTGATCTGTGTGTTGAAAGAACCCCATGTCCCAATGCTAAAATAATTACAAATCTCTGTACCTTCTTGAGATCAGACACTGAATTTTCCCCCAAAATTCAGGTAATTCTGCTTTTCAGTTTCTTGTTCACATTGAAAAACCATGAAAAATTTATTATCATCAATATTTTTGAGATATCTGTAGTGGATTTTTTATGGTTTAGACCATGTATGTGTATAATAGAATTTTTTGGGTTTTGAGTGGGTTGATTTGATTGGAGTTGAACAGATGACCTGTTTCTAAGCTTGTAATGTTTTGTAGACTTCCGAAGGACCCAGTAGTGACAGTGGTGTGGAGAGTACAAGTGGTGAAGGCAGTCGAACTGGGACTCCAACTAGTTTTGGAAATAATTACACAGGAATACTGACTTTAGTCAACCAGCAAATGGTATGTTTGGGAACTACTTGTTAGAGAATTTGCAATCTTATGTTCTTGGATTTCTTGATTTTTTATTGCACAACATTCACAATTGCATTATGAATAAAACAACCATTTTTGAATTTGTTCTGTGTTGGTGTTTTTTATGATAATAAATTAACTTATAATTTTGTGATCGATTTCAACTTATTTATAATTTCATATTGTTTTTTTCTTCATGTGTGTGGATTTTATTCTATTTGTATTAATTCAAATTAAATTTATGTATTAAACCCAAATAAAATACATAAAGTTAGAGTTTTAATTTAACAATTTTTAATGTAATGTTTTGCAGTCAGCGGAGAGAGCTGTTTTTCGACGTTCTAATTCCACTGGTGGTAGAGGACCAGGTCGACCTCCTGTTACTGACATTCCTTTAGAAGAATTGTTTGCTGCAGAAGATGGCGTAAGTATTCATTTTGTGAATTGTGCTTTCTCTTTATGTTTTGTTTCAGTTTGTTTTCGTCAGTTTTGTATTGCACATTTGTATCTTGTAGGAACAAAATCTTTGGAGGAATGAACGATAATTTAATTTATAATGAGTGTGCTTTGAACAAATGTTAAAAAGTTGTGATTTGAGTGTTTTTATGGTATATTCAATAATTTGTGAAAGTTGTACCCTTGATTTTTGACAGGTCCACAAGCAAAACAGAATTCAAAGGAGGGGTGCTTCTTTTGCTTTGACTTCCATCTCTTCATATTTTGGAAAAGACTTGCCTTCTAAATTGCCAAAACTATGGGACTTTATCAAAGCTCATTTGGTAGAAACAGTCGATCCTTCCAATTTTGGTAAGCTTGCTTTTTTTATGTGAGGTGTTGATATTTATTTAACATTAGATATAGTTAATGCTTCTGTTTCATTATCCTGTGTTCTTGATTGTAGATCCTGCTGTTTTGATGAATAATGATGTAGCTGCAGAAGAACTTGTCACAAATTTACTTGTACTGGAAGTAACTAGTCCTGCTCTCCATAAAGATCTTTTACCTCAGGTGAGCTAAATGGTTCTTTTGTTCTGCCTCTTCTCCCCTCCTCATTGTGTTGGGCCTGCTTGTTTGTCTTAGCTACATACTGGTACTAGGCACTATAAATATCTAATTTTTTTTTTATCAAAAGGCAACAAATTCTGTTTAACCTAACAGAATATAATATGAATTTCTCAAGTTTTAATAATTATAAGGGAAAAAATCCTCTGATGAAATTACCATTTTTATGACAAATTATCTTGGAATATTTTTGGTTACTTAATAGAATTAATTGTTTTCTTAAATTTTTTGCAGTTGATTAATGCCTTCTGTCGAACAAAATGTTTTTCAATTGATTGAAAGATCTTTCAATGTCATATGTTACTGAAGCAAATCCTAAACACAGTAGGTTTACCAGTTAGTTTTTGTTAATCAGAGTTGTGAGAAAACACTATCTTAAATCACATCAATGTATTTTTCTCTTTGTAATAGTTGATTTTTTCTTGGCATTTCTGTAGCCAATGTACAGCATCAAATAGTAAAAGTATCAATGATCTCTGTAGATGTTGCCCCCTTTCTTCGGGGAGTGATGACATCTGGCAAAAAAATTTAACTGCCTATAATAAAAGTTAGGTCATTTTTTATTTTCAAAGGATTGAGAAATTTCTTTATAATCAAATTGATTTGCTTCAATCCTCAAGAGTGTTGACCACCAAACCTATTTCTGAAAACTTGGTGAAGTAAACAGCTAATGGAATTATCCTGAAAATAAACATATCACTTCTATTGGCACTTTCTGAAATGCATGAAGTTCATAAGTCATATGAATCTCAGATGGGAACATTTGAAACTTGTTTAACCTTTCTAATTTACAGTGCTGTGTCAATTAAAAAACTGCCATTGAATTGTATTATTACTTATCTCATTAACTTCATTGATTAGTGAATAAATATGCAAAGTTATTGACTTTTCTTAACTATCGGTGGTGACTAAAATCAACTCCATTGAAATGTTTTCTAAAGACATCTTAAGTCCCCACAATGTCATTATATACACCAGTGATATCAGTTATCTCAATAATAGAAATTTAGATCTTCGTATTTTTCGTATCACTGACTGAGGTAACATTGGCGCCAAGTTAATTCACTAGACACTAATTTCTTTTCTTTTCTTGTTTCTTTTTTTTCTTCTCACTTTATTCACCATCACTGTCAGTCATGTTAAGAGCATTTTAAGCAGCTGATAGTGCCCATTTCTGAACATTTTTTCCTGCTGATTTTGTGATGTCTACCATATGTTTTCCCTTAGTATTGTTTGTTTGCAAGAGTAACTAATCAAAATATTATATGCAGGTGCTTTTGTGTCTGCCACACTTGAGCGTGCTGTTGTCGCATCCATACAGAGCAGTGCGTCACATGGCTGCTCGATGTTTGGGAACTCTCTCAAGTCTCGCTTCAGTACCTGTAATGAGTAGCGTTGTGACATCTGTTCTCCCTCTCTTGGGAGCTTCAGAATCCGATACCCAACGCCAAGGTGCTGTGGAAGCTCTGGCGTGTATTGTGGAAAAATTACAATTAAACATTATACCTTACATAGTTTTGTTGGTGGTACCTTTGCTTGGTAAGTATGTTGAAACCTTTCACAAGCAATTTGGCAAAATACTGAGAAAGATATGTTAGTTATACAGATCCTTTTAGTGAAATAATTATAAAATAACTGTAGTTCATTGATATTTCTATTGTAGATTATTAATGTTGAAATTAAATAAAAAAAGATATTCATCAAATTTGTTATTATCAGAATTTTTAGGTTCTCAGTTTCCAGAAACAAAAAACTTCAAAAGTTGTTTTAAATATTTCTTCTTTTATCTTTAGATTGTTCTGTGTTAAAATAGTTTGTATAGCCCAAAAAACTCTTGTTATAAATGCTTTTCTTTCTCTTTGTGCTAGGTCGTATGAGTGATCAAAATCAACCAGTACGCTTAATGGCCACACATTGTTTTGCTACCCTAATTCAGTTGATGCCTTTGGATGGAGGACTTCCAGAACCCCCTAGTCTGTCAGCTGATCTAATTGCTCAGAAAGTGAAAGAAAGGAAGTTCCTTGAACAATTGTTCAATCCCAAAAGCATAGACGAATATAAAGTACCAGTTCCTATTAAAGCAGAGTTGAGATCATATCAGCAAGTAAGTTTAAAAAAAATTATTTTATTTTAATGTCTGTTAGAGACTTTTCAATAACATATAATTTTTCTAGAAAATATAACTTGGTAAAGTGAAAAATATGTTGTTTTTGTTTCAAAGGCGGGAGTAAATTGGTTGGCATTCCTAAATAAGTACAAACTCCATGGAATTCTCTGTGATGACATGGGTTTGGGTAAAACCTTGCAATCAATATGCATTTTAGCTGGGGATCATAATGATAGAAATCTTCAGTATAAAGTAAGTAGCTGGATCATATAAGTGTTCATATGGGTCATATAGTTTTGTTCATATGTCTGTTTGGTAGCATTGCTGGTGTGTGGAAAAGAAGATTTTGGAGATGAAGAAAGTGATTTAATGAAAGACATATTTTGATAAATGATTTTTACCCAATGAGAGTTCAAATTGATTTTCAAAACTTTAATTGATTCTTTATTTGTCTAGTAATTAAATGGCCGTTTATAGGTGCAAATTAACATTTTTTTAGAGATTTATTAATTCTGCATTGTATTCTTTACATGTGTTGATACCAAAAAATAGGTTGACGGCAAAATGTCTTGCATGTCCAACTGTGTCTGTGAACAACGCTAGGGGTTATACAGCACGCAGAATTTTCACCAAAATTGATATTTCCTGATTATTCTGACTGAATTTACAAGCCCCTGGGATTTAAATGTTTCTTAATTTTTTTTCCCAATGCTAAAGGAAAATAGTGACTATAGAGAGTTTTTGTTAAATGAAATCTGTTCTATAAAAATTGTGCACATTATTTTAAAAATATGAGTAGTTTAGAATTATTTTGAAAATTGTAGATTCAAGTTTTCCACTATTCTTTTGCTTGTATAGGCTCTTTCAGAAACTATCAGGTCACATTCCAACAATGGGAACACTGTAACAGGGCGGTTTGAAATTCTCAGAATAACTTCATTGTTGGGTGGTGTTTCTGGATGAATGGAATAGTGTTTGGATTGCCAAATTTGTTTTGATGTGTTTTTGCACCTGATAGGTTACAATTGGTAATGAGTGTTACATGTGATTGCTGAAATGTGTTAATAAGATCTGAAATTGCAGTATTATAATTTTATGTAGCACTAATGAGGCAGAGAGCATATGTCCTTTGTAAGCTCCACTAGTTAATTGTTCTACTTCTCTGTGCTGAGTTTTGTTGTAATTATTGAAAGAAAAGGTTACTATTAAATTATGCAATATCAATATGAAAATTTCGGGAGACGGGTATGGTCTGTTCTGGAGGAAAGAAGTTTACTATTATAGTGGTGGTGGTGGGTGTGTGTGTGTGTTTTATTTTTTTATACATGGTGATGCGAATTTGTATTGATTCGTTTGGCTTGTTTTCCAGAGTACAAGGAGCCCTGACAGTGCTCCACTTCCTTCCATTGTTATTTGTCCTCCTACTCTGACTGGTCATTGGGTATATGAAGTACAGAAATTTTTACCCAGGGAATATTTAAATCCTTTGCAATATGTTGGTCCTCCTCTTGAAAGAGAGAAGTAAGTTTTTTATTATATATACCTGTCTTATGGAAAAGAAAAGTTTTGTTGTAATTTTTTTTTATATATATGTTGTTTACCTGGAAAGAGATTTATGAAAAAAAATTACTTTTTAGGTTAAGAAGTAAGGTGAAATTGCATAATTTAATAATAGCATCGTATGATATTGTTAGAAAAGACATAGATTTTTTTAGTACAATAAAATGGAATTATTGCATTCTGGACGAAGGCCACGTTATCAAGAATGGTAAAACAAAGGTAATTTTTTATTTTGATGTTCTATAATTGTAAGTGGGAATTGAGAATATATTCAAATGTTCACAATTCAAGTTCATTTTAATCAGCCACTTTTTTTTTCTTTCTTTCCAGTCTTCAAAAGCAATTAAACAGTTAATTGCAAATCATCGTCTCATATTATCGGGCACGCCCATTCAAAATAACGTCCTGGAATTGTGGTCGTTATTTGATTTTCTTATGCCTGGATTTCTGGGAACAGAAAAACAGTTTACAGCTCGATACAGTAAACCTATCCTAGCTAGTCGAGATCCCAAAAGTTCTCCTAAGGAACAAGAAGCTGGTTAGTATTGTTTTGGTAAACACACATATTTGTTTTATTGAACAGAAATGTAGCATCCTTTAAACTTTCCTTTTGTGAAGGATATTATTTATCTAACATTCCTTCGTCATTAAAAATTTGCAGTTATTTTTGTGAACTCTTAGCTTCAGCAATTTTCTCCCTTTGCTGTCATATCTTGATGTTGCTTACCCATAAAATCTGCTTTGTACCAAGCCACATTTTCCCTCAATCTTTTATCACTTCTCAATATTTTTTAATTTATAATTGAACAGTTTTAGTTTATGTTACTGTTAACAGTTATTGTTATGTTGAAGTTAAACTGAACTGAAGTGAAAGGAAGAGAATTATTTGGTCAAATTGCCTTTTTCTGATTTTATTTAATTCATACTAGTAGTTGTAAACATTCTAAAACTAGTTGAGAACATACACTTGTCTGCAAATCATTCAGTTTATAAAGCATTGTTTAGAACCAAAAAATAGTTCCTTGTTGAAACCTAATTTTAAATGGCCAAGCCCAGAACTATGTTTCATCATACAGACCCAGTAGAGGATGTAGATAAACATTCTAATATTACTCAGCCTATATTTAAAAACAATCTTAGACATGTGCAAATAAATTGCACAAAAAATTCAATAGTCCATGTAATTTTACATATATTTCAAGATACTGTACGATTTCCATCACCCATCTGGAACAGGGATATCTGGAGAGGCAAATTTCAAACACTGCAATAAAAATTCCAAAAGATCTCGTTCTAGATATAACAGAAGAGTTTTAAGGTCACTGGAAGCCCCATTTCTGACTTATGCACAATAGTAATGTGAATGACAGGTTTCACGTATGTCTACTGATTCCTTTGTAGCATTATCTACAGAATTTTACATTTTGTTGTCCTAATTCTGTTTGATGCATTCATGAGGTGGTAATTAATTCCCTATTCAACTGTAGTACATTTACAGAGTTTAGTGTTAATGGTGTATCATGCAAAATGGTCATCTTCCTTATACCTGTAGAAGTGATAAATTTCTTTGTAATTTTTAATACTGATAAATGAGTTATCATTGTCCTCATTTCCTCAATCTTACAATTTGGAAAAGGTTCACTGAACCATCTGGCAACCCCTGTAAATGATTCAACATAAAAACAATAGGATGTATCATTATAATTATAATTTCATTCTCCTTGTAGTATGATTTTTACTAGTTATCTATGTCTTCTGTAAATAAGAGTTTAATGGAAAAGGGGGTCTAGAAATGCCCCCCCCCCCCTCTTGAACATATTTATCGAAAAAATATTTTATTACATAAGGTTCAAGGTCCCTTCCAAAATTTTCTTCCTCCCCCTCTCCAGGAGGAAACTAAAATAAACACTCAAATTGGTATAATATAAATATACTATAGTCAATAAAAGTATAAAACCTTTTCTGTGTTGGGTGATTACTGTAAATGTGTGTTTGGATCATCAACTATTGTGAATTGTGGGGCAAGGAGCACCTACAAAAAAAAGGTGTGTGGTGACTCAGTGATCCCATGCCGCATCACATTTCCTTTGCAGCAAAATTTCTCAGAAAGGGTTAAAAGATAAGTGTCTAGTTAGGGGCATAAAGCTTTCCTCAAATGATATTGGGAAGCTTGAAAGTTTATAAACATATCTGAAAATACAGTGGACTCTGAAACAGTGCTGGGATGTCTCGGGCACCCCGCCTGAGCACTGCTAGGTTAATTCTTTTAGATTTTTTCATTGAGTACGCACACAATCTGGCAGAGACCATAGTGTTTCATTTCTGACCCAGAAAACTAATAGCAGAGACCAAAAATCAGAAGTTTGCTCAGAGTTGTGGGTTTGAGAGTAAGAGTGCTGTAAATTCTAAAATGGATAATTATGAGTTAAAAGGCAAAAGGACATCAATTAGAAGTAGAGAAAGACAGAGGACTGAGAGGATTATGATAAGGACCCTGCTTTTAAAACTGAAAATTAACACCAAAGATAAAATGGGATAGGATACATACTTCATGGGTCCCCTATATTTTCTTGAAATTGGCATCTCTGGTTTTAAGCTATTCAAAATTGTGTTTTATCTACACTACTATGGACGTTTGTAAGTTAATGTCATTTTTGGAGACCTCTTAGATGTTTACCTTGCATACAAAGATTGTATGATCATTAAAATGGGTCATACTTTTTCCTAGAAAGCAAACATTACAACTCCATAAGTAACTGCTCCTTCCAAACTTTCAAGCTTGGTTTTATCAAAATTAAGAATTTTGGACTTACATAAGCTGTTGATGAAGTATTATTGCAGTGACTTGTTGGTAATGGTGTGTGTGTGTTTAGGTGAAACCTGGCTGGATTTTAATTTTAAGTTCAATAAATAAGTTTTTAGAGTGATTTTAGGGGACATGTCACCAGTGAGTCTTGTTTGTTTGTGCTACAGATATATAACTCAAACAGAGGTTATTTCTCCATATAATTGATCCATATGTTAAGTAAGAGAGAAGGTATTAATGATAAGGAGAGAGTAAGATTTCTTTAGATTCTGGGTGGAAGATTTTGTGTCATTAACACTCCCGGGTCTTTTATGAAGTTTTAGCCCAGGCACTCTCTATTGAGAAATGAAACTTAGCTATTTGACTGCAGTATTTTTTATTTTATTTACTTGGGTAATAATTGAGTTCTTAAATACTTGTGGGACAGAAATTAAATACATTGTTGGGGAAGTATTGTAAAACCATTAGGAAAATATTTCTTAAATTATTCTGTTATTTATTTTAAAAGTGCAATTGTAATACCTATATATTAAGAACTTTTTAATTATTTATTCCCATGCTCTTCTGATGTTTTTCATTTTCTCAGGGAGTAATTAGAGAAAAACGAGGAAAAAATGGAAGTATCCGGATGTTGATACTTTTCTAATACATATCACAGATTTGTTATTTGAAATTTTATCTGGCAATCATTGCCTTTAGTTTTGAAATATTTTTGAATTTAATTCCAGGTGCTCTTGCAATGGAAGCTTTACACCGTCAAGTATTACCTTTTCTGCTCCGAAGAATGAAGGAAGATGTATTAGAAGACCTCCCACCTAAAATTACTCAGGTATTATGTTTATTACGGTGTATATAATACTTTCCCAAATTAATTAAAATATCAGAGTATGTTATAGATAAGAATACTTTTGTAATTACCAGTGTATTTCTGATTTAAGGATTATTACTGTGAACTTAGTCCATTGCAAGAACAACTCTATGAAGACTTCTCTCGATCGCAAGCTCATCAATCTTTGCAAGAAACTCTTGTTCAATCTGGTTCAAATCGATCATCTCAAGGAAACACTCATATCTTCCAGGTACTTTTGGACTTAGGTGTTTCAACTGATTTGTTATTTGTAAAATGTGCTCAAACATTTACATTTGAAATGGTTCCTCAATTTCTGTTTTAGGCACTCAGATATCTGCAAAATGTGTGCAATCATCCTAAATTAGTTCTCACTAATCAACACCCTGAATTTGAAAGAATTCAGTCTCAAATGAAGCAACAGAGTAGTAGTTTAGCTGACATCCAACATGCTGCAAAGTTACCAGCCCTAAAGTAAGTAAAAGTAGTCATTAACATTCATATCAGTTTTAAGATTGACTCTGAATTAAAAAATGTGCAAATTCAGCACTTTGAGCTGTCAAGTGATGGGATTCCATGGAATCGCTGAATGTTCAACATCACCTGCTTGTAACCCCTTATTTCACAGATATGGAAAAAGCGCCCTACATTCCTCTATTCACTTTTGGCTTCGACATAACACGTTCTGACTCTTCATTTATAAAAAAAATTTCGTGTATTTTAGAAATTTCTCTCAAATGTTTCTGAAGCTCCATTATTGTGTGTGGATTCTTTTGAACATTCAGATCTTCAACAAACCCAAGAAATTAACTTTATTATACTTCAGGATACATCAGGAGATCTTGCTTGCCAGCGACTACAACTAGTAATTACTCTGGACATTCTGCACATTTTCTTGCTCTTTAGAACTCAATAAAATTATTGTACAAATACTCTTGGTTTCAAACTAAATTATTCCCAGATGCATTCCCTATTTCTAACTCAATTTCTTTAACTAAGTTTGGTGAAGATGGAAGTGTTGATTATCAGCAAGAAAGAAAAATAGGTTTCTGCATCAAAGGGAAATGGAACTCCTCCATTCGAACAGCCTGTGCCACCAAGCCAAAGGAGTGTATGGATCTGTGTCTTGATAAATGAGCCTCACGGTTGTTATGTAAATTACTATTGAGTAATAGTGTACAACTCTACTGAACTAGAAACATAAAACATTATTTCTATTCCCTAAATTTTATTCCTTCTTGTCTCTTTATCTCATTGCTGTTTCATTCCATTTCTTTTTACTTCTTGCCAAACTTTTCCTTCTCTTTATGCTATGTTGTTATTTTTGTCTTTGTCTTAGCATAATTGCAGATTAATTGGAACGAAGTTTTAAGTCACGACTGAAGTGAATTCATTGTTTCCAGGCAATTGCTGCTTGATTGCGGTATTGGTATTCCTCCTGAAGAACAGGCTGGAGAGCAAGTGGTCAACCAACATCGAGCCCTCATTTTCTGCCAACTCAAAGCTATGTTGGACATACTTGAGAACGATCTATTCAAGTAAGTCCTGTAATTTTTAACAAAAATATAGTGCAACTTTAATTATATTTGTCCTTACTTAAGAATATGTTTATTGTTGCTGGAATTAGAGTAACATAAGAGTTACAAAACAAATTATCCTTCCATGCTTGCACTTGTTCTATCACTGAAGCAAGAACAACTAATGCACAGAGCAGCACTGACCCTTAAATGTCGGAGGCAATGCAAGTATTGCTATTCATAGCTGCTAGGCAATCTGAGAAACTGTTTGAAACATATATAACTAGTGAGGTACAAAATTGAACAAACTTTCTTGGACAAGTTTGTTTTCCTTTCTTTTGAGTAGAAGCTACTTTTCTGTTTTATTCCACCCCCACTTCCCAACATACATCTGTTGGTACCTATAAAACTGCAAGGTCCCCTTCTAAATCATATCCTAGTAAATGACATGACATTGTTTTTAAAATTAAAGCATTTGTGTTATGAATAAAACCTACTTATTTTGTGAAAACATGTTTATTTTTTCAGAAATTACATGCCTGGTGTATCCTATTTACGTTTGGATGGTAGTATTCCATCTGGAATGCGTCACTCGGTAGTCACTCGATTCAATAATGATCCTTCTATTGATGTTCTGCTATTAACTACCCAAGTGGGAGGATTAGGTTTGAACTTGACTGGTGCAGATACGGTGAGTTCAGGAGTGTCACATTTTATTTATGTTTGCTTTCTTGTAGTGCCTTGTTTAATATAGTTAATATTTTATTTTTACATAGGTAATTTTCGTTGAACATGATTGGAATCCTATGAAAGATTTACAAGCGATGGATCGTGCTCACCGAATAGGTCAAAAGAAAGTTGTAAATGTATATCGATTGATTACTCGAGGAACATTAGAAGAAAAAATTATGGGGTATGTTAATAATCATTTTATTTGTATTTATATATTTCCACTTACCTCTTTTAATATATTTTTAACTATGTTATTTTCATTTCAGATTGCAGAAATTTAAATTACTTACTGCTAACACGGTCATTAGCAGTGAAAATGCCAGCATGGAAACAATGGGTACAGATCAAGTAAGTTGTGTTTTGCAGTGTAGTTATGGAATGCAAGGGTCACACAGAAAAATGATTTTCATGCTTTTGTTTCAGTATAATTTTGTTCAGGAGTATTTGTTTTGATGTTAAACACTACCTGTTACATGATTGAACATAGATTATGCAAATTTTATGTAATTGCTGATAAGTTTAGGGTTGTGTACTATGTAGAAGTTCTTGTTTGTGTAGAGAAATTAGTTTGTCTTATTGACAAACATTGGGTTCTCTTTGAGCAATAATTTCGTTATAAATCTCATATTAACTTTTCCCCTTTTGTTTTTTCCATGCTATAATACTCGCAAACAAAGTTAATCATTACTATAAGAGACAATAATTTTATTTACTTGTCAAAACTAGTGAAATCGTGTGAAATATTTGATGACACTCGGGGCTGAGAGTTCTTATTTTTCTTTAGTACATAAAAGCTCATTGTCTTGTGTATAATGTGCAAATTAATATTGAGTATATGCTTTTCAGTTGTTGGATTTGTTTGCTTTGGACAATCGGAAGAAAGAAAATGTGAATTCTGGAAGTTCTCACTTGTCTCATACTGGGGGCATGAGTATAAAGACTGTCCTAGATACGTTGCCTGATTTATGGGAGGATAAGCAATATGAGGAAGAGTATGACTTGACTTCATTTGTTCAACGACTGCAGAAGTAAGCAACAGGCAGCACTTGGTAATCCACTTTTTCCTGCCTTTTCTACTATGGATTTTTTAAATTTAAATTCAGAAACTTTATTCTCTGAATTTGATAAACACTTACTGCAAATTGACAAAAGTCATACAGTGGATTGTAATGAGTATTTTTGTATGACATGTGCTCTTATTAATTTTAACATGTGTCTTTGCTTTGAAAAAGTATTTAATTATGATGATGCTAATGTAGTACTTCGTTTTTTGATACATTTTATTCATAAAAATGTTTGTGAAACATGTTAGTTGATGTAAGAATGACCACATGTGTTTGAAGTTGGTATATCAGAACTGGAACTATCTGTTTAAAATGAGTGTGTCAGACTTATTACTTATGTAAATTAGTATTTGAAAACGTGTTGGTAAATAAGTTCCTTTAATGAATAGGAATAAATTATACAATGTGTTCTTCAGTGTATTATATATATTTATATGCTAAGAAAATCCAATAATGCATATACTTTTGTTTATTTTTCTTTGTATTTACAAAAATAACATTATGAAATGTTAGAAAGATTTTGGTCACAGATTAGCAATTTTGAAAAGAATGCTTTTTAGAACATGTTATCCTCCAATAGTTGTATTGTAACTGAGATTTTGTACTTTCCTTTGCATATCCTCTTTTAGACATGTATGTGATGTAACAGTTGATTGACTCTTAAGAATGCTCGAGTTGTAATTAATTAGACTGTTAATACACTTTTAAAGCGCATTAGGGTATGTGTGCTTATATAAAAGTAATGTGCAGACTCAAGTGGAGAAGTAGTTCCAGTTATGCCTGATAGTTACCAAGTGTTCGTGAAAATTTTAGCATACATTTTTGTATGCAACAATTTCTTTTAATAGGTTAAGTGAAAATGTTTCTTCCATTAAATTATCTGATTGCAAAGTCAAAACATTCAATTCTGGAGAATGAGGAAGATTCAATTGGTTTCCCTTATTTAAATTTAGTCATTTACTATGCCAGACCTAGGAGTGTCGAGACTCGCCAAGAAGATGCATTGTGTGTTATTTGTTCATGTGCCTCCTTATTTATGTCAAATGTAAGTCATTTATTTGAATTTTAGGACCATTTTTGTCATATTTGTACAATAAAAACATATCTTCATTACCTTCAAATTTTTTTCTGAAAGGAATGGTGACATTTTTGAACCCAAATCTCAAGCCTAATTATGTTGACTTTCCTATTCTGATCACCTTGAACAAGGGGAGCTGACTTTCTTACAATTAACTAATGGATCCCCCTCCCCCCCATACCATTTACAAGAGAGCTGTTTCATTTAACCCAGAGCTGCTCAAGAAGGTGAAATGGTAACACACCACCTTATTTTGTGAAGCGCAACACCAGAATCAGTGTTATGCAGCTTGCGATAACCTCGGTTACAAGGATTCAGTGTGTCCCAATTACCAGTTACCACTTGCAAATGGAAGTCAATGCGAGCACTTTGCAGACCAGAGCAGCAACACTGACAATTTTCAATGTAACATGGGAAGGAAAATATCTTTTGGAGATTTCAGCAGCTATGCTGCTACTTTGCAAAAAACTACTCAATCATATGATGAAATTTAATTTGCAGTGATTTTGTAGTACAGTTAATCATGATATTAAATATGAAAGTATTCAGAAAAAGAATATATAAGACTTATCAATACTATAAAAAATACTGTATCCCAAAAAGTATGATTTGGATATATTTTGATGTTTTAGCAGTAGCATATCACTATATAAACGAAGTTCTCTTAGAGATACAACATAGGCATTTATGAAAAATATTGCAATACCCAATGTAAAAACAATGAACCATATCGACACATGAAACACAGCGATAATTTTATAAAAACTATGTTTTGAAAACCTCGGCATCGATGTTGCATCCCAATCGAGTCTCAAAAGCCTGCTCGGAGCATCGCCATCGCGAGTGGAGACCACCCGGTGCTGTGCGTGGTCGTTCGCCGATGGAACCGTACTAAACTTCGATTTTTTTTTTAAGTGACCGATGATATTAGGTCATTGTTACACCTCTTGCCGTGTAAAATTAATCTTTTTAACAGAGGGTAAGCACATTTCTGAGGAGCTAGGCACTAAGGAGGACGTTCGCGAATTCATTTTATAAGGATAGAGGTGTAAAAATGACCTAATGTCATCGGCTCCTTAAAAAAAATCGAAGAAATAGCGATGAATACCAGAAACATTTCGAACTCGCTACTCTCTCCTGCATCGCTTTTTCCGTTCGCATTTACCAAGAAATAAGATTAGGAATGAGAAAATTGCGTTGAAACCATGCCGGACCAGGAGGAATTTGAATTTTAGAAAATGATCATCAATCGTCAGAATTAAATAGGAATAAGTTCTCTCGAGTCCGTTGTTCAGATACGAGGCATTTTTGTCACACAAATTTCGTAAATGTGGCCGCAGAATTTCAGAAATACAGGCACGCGCGTAAACAAGATGGGCGGGGAGGGAGCAACAACTTTTCTGAGCCCCCGTATCAAGTCAATTTTAAAAAAATTACATATTCGTAACATTTTATTTGTACAATATTTTTAGCATGTTCTTAAATTTTTAGGGGTGTGTAGAAAGAATCGTCTTCGGCCTGGTCACATTTTTCGTGGCATTATCGTATACTTTTCAGCATTTTTGGCTGTAGACCGATTTTTGATTTTTAGCGAGTTTGAATCCAAATTGGTTATCTGTCAAGGGTAAATTCGAAAGATTTTTGTTTTTGCCTTCAGAAATTCTATTATTTTGTTGTTTTGGGGGTTTATGTATTTTTTACAAAAATTAAGAAATCGCAAATAAACAAGATTAATTGTAATTATTGGGAAAATAAAGAGTTAATTAATAACTTCAGCACGTGTATATTTTTTCCACTAAGTAAAACGCCGTAATTTTTCAAATTTTTATATTCATAGGCAATAATGGTTACTCTAATATGGCTGCAGCAACAATACACCGGAATAGACGAATGTGCTCATGCCTTTGTCTTCACTACAAAATTTAGAATGAACGTATACGTTCTATTCATTACTTCAGGAAATTGACCTAATTAGGGAACTAACCTGTTTTATTATTTAGGGCTTTCGAAAATTCGGACTATGGCCCCTTGTACGCACGATGCTCATGATAATGGGTAACTTAATCCACTGATGAAATAATATGAGAAGGACAAGTTTCCAATGCTGCCATTAATTTTGGCCACTGGGAACGTCAGGAATGTTTCAATAGGTATATGAATGAGTCATTATAGGATTTATCTGAGATTTAGCTTGCTTGGGAATCAGAAATTTTCTTTAAAACTGCATCTTTGTTTACTCGAGAAATTCCCATTAACCAACAACCAGAAAATCAATCCCTGAAGAGAAAATTTCATGTGAGCGCGCCCCTTCTTAAGCAACGCGCTTTACTCTTCTGCCATGCGTGTGGCATTTAGAGTTGTTAAAGGAGAACGAAAGAATAGTTTTTGTGTCCTGTTCATTGTGCTATTTAACAACGGCGAATAAAAGGGGGGTTGGTGCAAAATAGCAATAATAAAATAATATACGACTGTCTTAAGTAACCCGAGTCCTCGTATTTATTTATCATAATTGTCTATTAAATAGGAAAAGGAAAGGATTCTCAACAGTGTAAAATGAAAATACTCGTATTTTGTCTTTTACAGACTCCGCTCCGCTCGTCTTCCATGCTTCACTCTCCCCATCCGTCCCCGCCTTGCCTGTTCTCCTCTTGTCACACGTCACCTCTTCCTGCTCCGCCCCCGACCATAACCCGACCTCTCGCCTCACCCACACCACGGGGACTTGACGCACTGAGGATTGCATTAAACAAACTAGTTTGGCTACATATCTCACCGATTTATTGGTAACGGATACATAACACAGTCAACTCTGTTTATACTGAACCTCTGGGAACCAACATTATTAGTTCTCTATATCAGAGGGGTACTGTATCCAATAATTCCAAAATAAAAATGTATGCCAATGCAATAAAATATCCAAGAGTCGTGAATTCAAAATTTGAATATCTTCGATCTTTGATTTTGCCTTCAACTCACTAAATGTCTTAGTGTCGTCTTACACCCTTCAATCTCTTCACCCTCTCGTAGTGTTGGAGAAATGGACTTTTGATTATAGCGAACTCGGATATTCGATAGTAAACTCGGATGTGCTGAACTTTCAATTATAATGAACTGAAATCACAGGTCTTTATGTGCATATGTCATCCACGAGAAGATTAGTAAATACAACTTCTAGAGGGGGGATCTTAGTACCGCGAAGACATGTAACACGAAGGATTTGCAATAGAGGATAACATGAAGGGTTTCGTGGGTTATTTTCCTAACATTTTTTTGGAAATGAATGAGATTGAGGAAATTATGCCACTGAAGAAATTGCTTCCACTTATCAGAGGCAGTTCTGTTCAGGCCGGAGACTTCATGAACGCGGGCAAGTTGGGAGGAAAAAAAGTGATGGCGCAAAAATAAAAGTGCTCGAGCTCTATGAGAGACATTGAGAAGTGGAAGACAACACCAATATATTTAGAGTGTGTTGAAACCAGATAGAATCAAATGTGTTCGAAGATATGGAAATTTTGAATTGGATATTTTATTGTACCTTTGAAATATTAACATTTTAGTTTGGGATTATCCGATGTAGGGAACAAAAAATATGTCTCAAAAGGTTCACTATAACCGGAGTTATCCATCACTACGAATTTACTATCCAGAGTCGACTGTGTTACAATATCAACAAATAACGCTTCAGCCATTACTCAACAATATATCTTAAGAATATGCAACAACTAATATTTTTAAAATTTAAATTAATTAATTTAAATATTTAATAGTGATGGAGTATATATAACGTCGAACAATGTTTCGTAAATCCAAAATTTGGCTAATGGCATAATAAAGGGAAAATGGTAGGTTTAATTTGCGCCTCGCGAGGGATAACCAGTCACAGAATTTCTTCATTTTCTTCGTGACTTTAAACTTTAAATTTAATTTGTTGGTGAGCTTGGCTGCGTTTTACCTTCAATATCTTTAATGTGAAAATAATTATAAATTATTTAAATACCCGCCACTAGCTGTACAATCGCGAGGAAACGTATCCAGCGTTACCTACCGAACGCATTGCGCCCTTGATAGTTCTAGTATGTACTCTTGCCGAGCAGATGGCGTTGCAATACAGGAGTGTCGCACTTTGTCGGCAATAGGTTATACTCGTGTACAAAGTAGGCGTAGCGTACTGTGAAATGTTAAAAAAGTGAATGTATATTGGAATTTCTTTCTTGTTTTACTTAATTGTTCCTGTGTGCCATCAGAATGACTTCAAGAAGGTATGTTTTCTTTGCTATCTGTGGGTCCTATAACCCTGTTGCCACAAATGAAATAATTCTCATTGTGGGAGGTACTTTCACCTAACAGATGTCAGTTGTTTATAAATTTTGACAGCCTTATGGGGTTGTGGAATGAAATTTTTGACTGAACAAATTTGAGTCAGTGAGTTTCCCTCCATATGTGTGCATTGTTTTTTCTTTAATTTAGAAATGTGGCATTTTATTTTAGTTGTTTTTAGAATTCTAGTGTGTGCATTGTTTACCATGATCAGAACCTATGATAAATATGTAAACAATGTGAATCATTATTTTGAATGTGTGTAGTAATATTTTATTTTGATATTTAAAGGTGAAATACACCAGTATAAAGTTAAATTAAATTTTGTATTAGCTGCATAATCTACAACTCGGCGTGTATGAAAGTGTGTTTTTGAATAAAATGATATGTGTCATTCATTGAAATGGTTACACTAATTATAAGATCCTTTTTTCTTACAACTGTGTATTTTTTTGTATGGGAAATACTCTGTGTTTATAAAAAGTATAGGCCTACATATTTATGAACAAAGTTTTTTACTTTGTGAAGACAGCCGTAGTTGGTTTTAAAATAATTATTTCATTATCAAAGTTAATATTCTGAGAGCTTAAGAGTAACTTACTTTAAAGAGAGAAAAAATTATGTTTTAAATACTAAAATCATGTCTTCAAATTATAAAAATCATGAAAGAATATTTGGGGCACCTAATTAGTCTTTATTGCTGTTTGTGTATGAATCCATATTTGCTTGTTGTTTCTTTTCCTTCACAAAATCAGTTTATAAAATAATTTTCATTGAATGTCAGAAGTGCAAAAATATAAAATGAATAAATAAATTGAAATTAATGCTGTTGTAAAATTAATGCACATCATAGGGGTATAGTGTACAATAGTGTACTCAGATAAAAAAAGTCAATGCCGTATGTAGCGGAAGAAATAACATGTTTTACAAAGTTGAAAGATTTTACAAATTTTTAGTTTCTTTTAACTTCACAGAGATTTTATTTTAAAAATGCTCTTTAATATCTTTAGTTGCGTCTTTAGATTTTGTTTAAAGTTCACATATTCTATTGATGTTTTTGTACTTGTAAATATTTTGTGAGCTTTGACATTAAAGAAAAAAAACCTGAGTCAAATGTTATTTTCAATTAAAAATAATAATAATATGTCACTTGTGAATGCAGTAATGTTTTTGCAACAGCTTATTGATTTACAATAAAATAGAAAGTTTGTATTGTTATTTTTTTAATTTCATATTATAATAATAATTATTATTATTATTTGCTTTAATTTATGTCTTGATTCTTGGTTTTAAATACCTATTAGTGCTATTCCTGGTTCTTCTGAAACATTAACAATAGAAATACACGTTTCACACTGTCAGCATCTTCACTGTGTTCACAGTTGTTGTATCAGGGTTATATAATGCATGGGTTTACTTGGCAATAGCAGTTTCTTATCAGGTATTGTACCTTATCTCTGCATCTTACATTTTCTTAATACCTAACATTGGAATGGCTGCATTGTGTGGAGCCACCTGTTACAAGATGGGAGGACGCTGCAGGAGGGTGCCAGAATTTTGTCTCTTTCCACCTCGGTTGAAGTAAGAAGCTTCAGTGTGTGAAATCATGCACGTGATTGCTTATGTGAGTGTCAGTTTGGCATATTATGAGTGTTGGAAATAACCTAAGTTTTTTGTTGACTTTGTGTACTTTGAGAAATACAATTTCGTTTAGTGTTTGAAATAACTTCAACTTCTTTCATCTGGGTCAATACAAAATATTTGGGTTAGTGCTGCTGTCTTCAATATACTTCAAGTATTTCCAATTTTTTGATCTTATCTTGGATTTTTTAATGATGTCAGTCTGTCATGTAGTTTCTTATTCCATGGTGGCATTAAGACTAGTGTTATAAAAAGTAGAGTAGTGCATTAGGTAATTTGTTGCGCAAAATTGATTTATGGATACCTGATGTGAGTAGTTTGAAAAGATAATTTGGTAATTTTCTTTTTGTTTTGTTTTATTAGTATCATTATGTTGCATAGTTCAAATACTTTTAAGCGCTTCTTTTGTAGAAAATTTTGTTGATGTTAGTTTTTAAAATTTTAATGTCATGTTAGTTTTTACATTTATTATGTAGAATTTGTTTTGGAATTATGATTTTTCTTTTAAAGACAATTTCATGAGTAGTCTTTTTTAATTCAATGTCAGTCAGTGTCATGTAAAATTATTTTTCACAAAACCCATAAAAAAGTTATTGAATTTTTTATGAAAACTGTTTTTGTAAGTTAGTATTACATTTTTATTGCACCTTTACCGAAGTTTGGAAATATTATTTACAGTATTTTTTGTGGGAGAGAGAGGAGCAAAGTTTTTAGATATCAAATTTCTGCTTGTTTATATAAAAATGTTTATGAGAATTACTTCTAACTGTCTCCAACTAAATTTTTGTTAATGCTCAGGAGACCAGTACTAATATATATTTTAACATTGGTTTATTCTAATCAACATATTTGACATTTTATCAGGTGGTTTTATTTGCGCCCTGTATTGATATTGTAGAAAATGTCATATTTTTTATACATATCTTTTTATTTTGTCGATAAAGAGCACACAATTATAATCAAATTTTGTTCTTTATGCATTTGTGTATGGTGTCTCGATGGTTTGTGAAATGAGAATAAGGAATTTTAAACTACAGAAAGGAATGTAAAATAGTGTTAATAAATTTCACAATTCATTAAATTAATGAAATTAATGAAATTTGTTATGATGTAGATGTAGTCATTTACAGTTAGGTAGATAAATCTATTGTTTGTATAAGAATTTTTTTTCCAACTTCTAGTATGTTTCCTTTTTGTCTTTTGAACGTGAAAGAGGATTAGAGTAACGCAAATGATTTGTACAGAATGTACCGCGGTTGCTCTCTCTATTGAAGGATTGGCCTTTTTTTTTCTTTGGCGCTACACTTGGCTCCCGTGAGAGCGTCGGGAAGTGTAGAGAGTTATTTATCCCCGCTTTAATGTCGTATTTGGCCGTTTCCTACTAGGAATCGGAGTGTGGCATTATGCCAACGAAGATAATAAAGGCCAGGTTTTAACTTTCCGCAGGGAAGCATATAACACCTCACGTCCGGACCAGAAACGCGACAAATCAAAAGTTACGGACTGGAAACCGAAAGGAGGGTGTAGGAAAACTCGTGCAGGGGGTCTTAGAGAATTTGCTGCGGGTGGACCAATGCATAAGCAGTGCAGATGCTTCTACTGCAAAGAGATAGTGATTATCTTTAAACAAAACTTTATGTTCAGAATATGTAAAAAAGTTTTAATGTTTTCAATTTCAAAGGTTTTTGTTTAGGACCCTATTTTGTCATTACATATATTTAATGTTTAAACATAAATAGGATCTCGTATTTTGGCCATTCTTGTGTTCTTTCATAAAATTAATCCGGTTTTGAGGATCACAGTGATTGTCTAGTGGAGGACTTATGGTCTTAGTTTCGTGCGTTGTGAATGCATTTGGGTGTTGTGCTTAGGGGTAACTTACAATATTTTCATATATTATTGCCCGTTATAAAGTTACGCAGTGCTCGACTGAAAAAAGGCTATTTTTTGTCAGAATAATTCGTTTGGCGGGTCCCTCATACCGAAGAAATGGATAATTCTTGCTCCAATGTGTGGTAAATTATTTCCTCTAATAAATTGTGTTATCAGAATCCATATCAAGGAAGTTCTTGACAATGAAATATTGGTTTACTGCATACGTCTGTCCGTCTGTGAATAGTACTATAGTCTAAACCGTTCCAAGGATTTTCGCCAAATTTTATTTTCGTCAATCGACCTAGCTGATGTCGCGGCCTCTTGAATTTGAAATGGATATTTAATTTTTGAGGTATTCATGATTTTGGAGGTTATTAGTGTATACAATGTCCTAACGACATTTTCAATGTTTCTTTCAAAAAAGTCAAAATTGTTGGATTATTTTTACTTTCTCGTCATACGCAATTATTACAGAGATAGTATTGTAAACGTGCGACAGAAATTGGCAATTTTTCGATCGAAAACTTTATTATTAGGCCCTGGTGAGGAAAACATGGATAAATCATAATCCGATACTTGGTATATTACTTCCACTAAAACAGTCAGAATCCATGTTTTGTGGGTTCTTGATACCGAAAAACCGGTTGATGGCAAAATGTCTGTCCATCTATCGGCCGTCAGTCCGTCTGTAGTCTAGCGTCCAAAAAACCGCTCAATTTACTCCAACACTGATACTTCTCGATCGTTCTGAAGGATAACGGGGCCCTGCGAGTTAGAAAATTGATATTTGGATTTTAGGAGATAATTTACAAGAAGTCTCAACATTTTCAAAATTTTGCGCAAAATGGTTCCAAATAATTTGATTAAACTTTGTCCTATAGCGCTAAGGACGCTTAAGAAAATAGCGCAGATCTCATTTTCTTAAAAACTCAGATTTTTTCGAAAATTGCAAAACGTTTTCATTCTTATGGCGTCTTGCCACAACTACAACATTGAAGACATATTTTTTTTTTGCGTGGAGAATATGATTCAGAGGCAGATCTTGAAATAAGGTCATGCATAATTTTTTGAAAATGAGAGTGTTTTCGCATAAAATTGCGTGAAAAGTAGGCACTTTTTAACAATTAAGTTTTAGAAAACGTTTTCAATTTTTTCTTTAATTGTTTCCTCGCATCAATCGTTCCAAAGGAAGATTAAAAAATGGTGTTAGCCTAATTTTCGGCAAACTCTATATTTTCGAAAATTATAACAAACATTATCATCACAAAAGCACAATATTAATGATAGAGATGTTTTTAAAGAAAATTTATTTTAAAAAATTAGATCTTTAAATTTTGCCTTGTAACATTTTTGGAACAAACGAGTGGGTTTTGCTTAATTTCTGATTGAAGTTAATGCAATTTAATCTGAAATGTAAAAATTTTCA